CGCTGAACAACAGGAGATGGATCTGTTCGAGGAAAGACAACCAAGGAAGCAACAGCAGTTAGTCTTCTACACTCAAAGAAGAAATGACAACAACTACAACCGACGCAGCAAGCAAGATCAACGCGACAACCGAGGACTCACCATCGTACCGCCGTTCTGCCACAACTGCCAGACTTCCGGGCACTCCAAAGTCAACTGCAACCGCCCTCGCGTTTACCGTGCAGCAGACCCACAAGTCGCTTCCACTCAAGCAAGTCCTCCAAGGCGCTCTTCAACATCTGCACAACAAACACCCAACATCATCAACTGCATGGTACACATCGACAACTGCGCACCCGGTTCACCACCCACTTACGCACCAGACGAAGAGGAATTCCCGCCGCCGCGCTCGCAAGGACTTCAGGTCAACCCGACATACGCTGCAGTCGCCAACGCCGAACCCACCGGGCGAAACACCTGGTTCTTGGACAGCTGCTGCGGTCAACACATGTGCTCCTCGGGACGCTTCGTGCAACAAGAGAAACGACTCAACCGCGACGTCGTCATCACAGTCGCCAACAACGAAAACCTGAAGACAAACAGACAAGGCGTGGTTCAGTTACAATCCATGGAAACAAACGTAATACTGCAGCTCAACAAAGTGCTCATTGTCGACAACCTGGGATACAATCTACTAAGCGTAAGCCAACTAATGGCCAAAGGGATTCACCTGGAGTGCGACTCTTACTCCAACGAGTTCTGGCTTTACCACGGGAAGGGCGGCCTCTTCATCGGTCGTGCCCTCCTGAAGTCCGGTGTCTTCGTGTTGGACTTCGTCCCCGACCGCGGAACTGCCGACAGCGATGGCATCGTATCGTTCGCCGCCTGGACTCACCCGCCAGATCTTGATCCCGACTTCGACAGTGACGGCTTCTGGCACTCCAACACCATACCTGCAGCAGAGAGAACACGAGCATTAGCAGTTATCAGACAAGAAAGACAAGTACCCGCAAGTGTCCCAACAAAACCATCACCTGCAGTATCGGCAGCAGGACCCAGCCGAGTACCACCACCATCAACACGAGGACCGCCAACGGAAGCAGACCAACTTATGCCCGCCACACGAGAAGCTTGTCGAAGTCCCGCCTCGGTCGTCGCGTTCTTCTCCAACGCCGACATCTACCACCGCTCGCCCGGTCACCGTGCTCCCGACGACATCTGGCACTAACGCCTCGGACACCCTGCAAACAGCACAATACTTCAGACAATCCAAGCAGAGGTGTTAGAACGCAACGCCCTTCTGACGACGAGCGGTCAAGAACTTCGACGACCACGCGCACGGTGCTTCACATGCCCCGAAGCAGATCTTCCTCATCAACCTTTTCCATCCCATCACAACCCAAGCGCACCTACTTACGCTCCGATGGAAAAAGTCTACAGCGATATTTTAAACATGCCTCGAGACGACGCCGAAGCCGACTTTAACTACGTCATCACTTTCATCGACGCCGCAACCAGATATGTCTGGCACTTCAATCTCAAAACGCGCGACCAAGCCTTCGAAGCCTTCACAACATGGCTCCCCATCGCCGAACGAGAATCAGGACTCAAACTCAAGAGCTTCCAGTCAGACGGTGCACTGGAATACCAGTCACAACGCTTCAGGACCTATCTGGCGGAAAGGGGAATCAGACGCCTGGTGTCCCTGCCCTATGCTCACCAACAGCAGGGGGTAGCAGAACGCATGAATCGGACCTTGCAGACGACGATGCGAAAACTACTTCAGGGGATGCGACTGCCAACCACACTGTGGCCAGACGCGATGACACATGCTGTTCACCTGCACAACCTGCTGTCCTCGTCATCACTTCCCAACAACGCATCACCGCACCTGTTGTGGACAAGAAAAAGGGGCAGCACAAAATTACTCAGAGTCTTTGGCTGCATGGTACAGTACAGACCCCACACAGCCCGAGCAGGATGCTTCACACAACGAGCTCGGTGGGGACTCCACCTCGGCATCGCGAAACATTTTCACGCGTGGAAAATTCTCGACATACAAGACAAAAACACGGTGGCATCACGAGACGTTATCTTCTACGAACGACTGACTCTGCAGCATTACCTGGACAACCTTGCCAACACACAAGACCCCACCGACGGCCTCTCGGGACTTCGTTCCTTCGCCGATCGTGCTGCCGAAGCTGACGCAGCAGAAGAAGACGTACCTGGAGCCTCGGAAGCTGCCGGGCCACTCCCATTCTGTTCCGTACCTGTTCCACTCGATGACGATAATCCCCTCGATAGCAACAACCTCGACACCTTTTACCACTTCGCCGACCAAGGTTACGCTACACCTCACCCCGTCGACACGAATATTTCGGAACGCATCGGCCCCAATTTCTTACCTGACCCCGAAGACGGTGACGAAGCAGCTTATTCCGGGAATGACAATTCCCCTCGACACACACCCTCGGGACTCCAGATTCTAGGCCTCTGGGTCTCCGTCCAGCATCCGCCGCCGCCTTCTACGCGTGAGCCTTCAACATTGTCGCAGGCTCTGGGGGGGGAACATAAGGTAAAATGGAAGGAAGCGATGGAAAAAGAGTTAAAAGCTCTGCAAGACCGAGAAACATGGAAACTGGTACCTGCAACGAGCATCAACGGGAAGAACGTTCTCTCGGGGAAATGGGTGTACCGCATCAAGACCAACTCAGACGGCTCCATCGAACGATTCAAAGCTCGATGGGTCGTACGAGGCTTCGATCAACGATACGGAACCGACTACACAGAAACCTTCGCTCCAGTCTCCCATCACACCTCATTACGCATCCTACTCGCCGTCGCGGCCACGAAAACACTACCACTACGCCAAATCGATGTCGCGAATGCGTTCCTATACGCACCTGTGGACGCTGAGATCTTCGTCGAACAACCCCACGGATTCATCGACGACCCCACGAAAATATGCCGACTGACAAAATCCCTATACGGGATCAAGCAAGCCCCGCGGCTCTGGCAGCAGCATCTTCACAGCCGTCTTGTAAAAATCGGCTTCCTACAGCTACCACATGACCAAGGCATGTACCGACTGCAGAAGGGAAGAGATTACATTCTGCTCATCGTCTACGTCGACGACCTGCTCTACATCGGTTCTACCACCGACATCGTCACCTGGTTCGAAGGGGAGCTGAAAGGGGACCTGACGCTCACAGTGTCCGACTCAGTGACCCAGTACTTGGGACTAAATATCGTCGAAGACAACTCGGCGTTCTACCTACACGCTGGAAAGTACGCAGGCACTGTCGCGAAGAAATTCGGACTAACACCGGCTACCGCCTCAACTCCCTACCGCTACGGAAACAACAACAGCGCCTCCGCAAAACTCCCCGCGAAGCAAATCCAGGAGTATCAACAGAAGCTCGGCTGCCTACTATTTGCAGCAGTAACCTGCCGACCCGACCTGTCCTATAGTGCAAGTCAACTGGCGACGCATCTGAAGCAACCGGAACAGGAGGATCTCGAGGAGCTCAACCGGGCACTACTCTACTTCATCTCCACGCCGACGATCGGACTTACCTACAGCAAAGCGACAACATCGTCCGTACAACTACTCGGATACGTCGACGCCGACCACGCGGGAGATAGGGAAAATCGACGATCTAGGACGGGCTACATCTACCGACTAGAACCCATCGGAACTATCTCCTGGCAGTCGAGCAAGCAGGAGTTAATCGCACTATCCTCTGCTGAAGCAGAGTACATCGCCCTTTGTACCGCGACCAAGGAAGGACTCTACCTGCGAGAGTTACTCGAGGAAGCGAAGATCGCGACCCTGCCCGCCTTCTCACTCTTCTGCGACAACCAATCTGCGATCAAAATCGCAAACAAGGACGGCTTCGCCAACCGAACCAAGCACATCGCCCTGCGGTACTTCTTCGTCAAGGATGAAATCGCGAAGGGGAGACTTCAACTCAGTTACTGCCCGACGACAGAAATGGCCGCAGACTATTTGACGAAGAAATTGGCGAAGGCAAAATTCGAGTACTGCATGGTGCTGACCGGACAAACAAACGTCATCGGACCTGAACAAGTCAGCACTCCAGAAACGAAGGGGAGTGTTGAAAGTACATCAAAAGACTTAAGCGTTTCTGAAGTGTAACACTACACTCGAGGAAGATTGCAAGGGGTACGCGAGTCAACGGAGGTTACACGAGGGGGCGGACAAAGAACACGAAGGGTCTGGGACTCAAAGGGTCGCAACTGGAGGTTGCGACTGACCGTTACAGCATCACGGATGGTAACCGAAGCGGCAATCGAGTCGCTATGCGACTCGATAAACCGTTCCTGTAACTGTACTCTGCAACTGCTTTCTTATCTTCTATATATTGCTGTATGCTTGTTTCTTTAATCAATCACTTGTTCTCACATACTAGTACAAGGGTTCAACTGTCTCAACTTCCGCTGCACTACTCCAAGTCTCAAGTCTCTACAGCTGGGACTTAGTCTCTGCAAAAGATCCTAAGGGCTTTTCTCAGCCCAACATGTAAAATGCAGCCCCCGAAAAGCGGGTGCTCTCCTAAATTCACCCTATCATAAGCTCTCCCCCGCATAAACCACCAGCGGAGTGACTATTTCGGCGGGTGTTATATACGGGGGATTACGGTACCCTAAAACCAGTCGTGGGGCCTGGTGTGAACTCTGGAAATATAAGATTTCGACTTGGGCGCAGGATTCTGACTCGACATTCTGAACCCTGAGTATTTCAGACTCGTTGACTTTTGGACACTGAGATTTCAGAGTAACGAAATTTCGAAAAATGGCCCTTCAGACTTGGGAATTTTTTGGGGGGGCAAAATCAGAGTGCCTTTTTTTGAAACGTCAGCCCTGGTCGCAACACACCTTTTTTTCGTTATGTTTCGTGTGGAGTGCTCAAGTTTGGGTCTTTTATTCTGACCACCAAAAAGTATGTTTTCAAGAGCGTCCCAAGGTGTGCTTTTTAGCCTGTGGTTTTAATGATTGTGTAGCTTCATCGTTTATAGTTGGCGTTGTATTTATTGACATTGAAGCACCTACTGCCTACAGCCAACAGAATTTTAAAAACCTATGCTCATGTGTACCGTTGTCAGCTTAGAAAATGTAGAGCCTGTAGCCTGTCGCCTCCTCTGGACTCCACTCCCCTCCCATACTTTTCTCACCCCCACACTCCACTCCTCTACATCGCACTCCCATATACCCTACATCCTCCTACATGAGTCAGCCACCCGCAGAGAGAGCAGGGGCAGGAGCAGGGGGTGGTGTGGCTAGGGTGGGGGAAGAGGGTGAGGTTGGGTGTGAGAGAAAGGAGGAGGGAGGGGCGTCGAGGACGTGAGGAGGGAAGGCGTGCAGGGTAAGCGAGAGGAGGTGGTCGATGGTCTGTTACGGGGGAGATGAGGGATTGGAGGGGAGGGGAAGAGAGAGGTGATGAACGGTTTGGACCTAGGGTTGGTTGGACCATGCATGACATGCCTGACCAAGAAACAGTGGTTGCTTCCACCACAAAGAGATGAGACCCTTATGATGACACCAAGTCTTGCTTTGCCGTCTCTTACCAATTGGCAAAAGCACAATGTCACCATTCTAGATACTGCTATTACTTCTTCAGTTACATGTCTTAGAGAGAGGGTAAGGGGAGTGGAGGGGAAGCGGGAGATGGGTGGCAGCCCCCAATTCGGACCTTAGCTTGTCGTATCTCAGTGTCAATGAGTCGCCTCCACTTGCCCGCCCCTGGCTCACAGTGGAAAAGACCCAGTAGGGGCTGCGAAGAGGAGGGGGGGGGGGGGGGGGGGGGGGGAAGCGAGGGGAGAGAGGGCAGAGAGGGGAGCGTGGTGAGCGAGGGGAGAGAGGGGAGAGAGGGGAGCGAGGGGAGCGAGGGGGGTGAGGGGAGAGGGGGGAGCGAGGGGGGTGAGGGGAGAGGGGGGAGCGAGGGGGGAGAGGGGAGCGAAGGGAGAGGGGGGAGTGAAGGGAGTGAGGGGAGGAGAGAAGGCACATGCCTGCACAGAAGCGAGAGTGAGAAACACTGGGAGTGGGAGAAGCAGGGGTTGATTGGGCCGTGTGGCGCCACTCCTCTCCTCACATGCATGCATGTGTGCGCTGGCTGCCATGGTACTGACGAGTAGAGGAAGCCATGTGTCATGCTATTCCTCTGTCTACAGAAGGCACCTCACGTGCAGACACCACATAACTCCCTCACAAAACACAATGGACATACCTACCCACCTCTCGTACATCAGACTTCCGAGTCGCCCCAACAGCCACATGCATATTCACACACACCTCACACCCCCCCTCCCACTGCCACCCTGACTGCTGGCCGCCTTACCTTGACCAGCGTGCGGACGTTGGGCCTTCCTGGGCCAAACTGGTTGATGGCCGAGTCAGAGTACTGCGCGTACAGATGGAGCAGCTGGGGCGGGGAGGGGGAGGAGGAAGAGGGGGAGAAAGGAATTGGGGGGGGAGTCCGGAAGAGAGGGGGGGTGGGGGGGGGAGGGAGGGGGGGAGATGGAGGAAGGGTTCTTGAGGCGCATAAGAACCCTTTGTGGCCGAAGTGGCTCAGGGCTGAGTGAGCATACTTATGGAGTAGCTGGGGGGGACAGATGGAGGAGGGGAGCACGGGACCAAGGGACGAGAGGGCAGACAACGAGGGAGAGGGAGAAGAAAGATGTAGACAGAGGGGAGGCATGGAGGGAGGTTGAGAAAGCGAAGACAGGTTCAGGGTGGGAGAGAGGGAGAAAGTAAACCATGTTTGTGCATACATGTGCGTGTGCGTGCATGCATCCACCTCAAGTGGCTGGATGTATGTAGGCTTCCTGAGGGGAGAGTTTGGCGCATAATCGCATGTGACGTACCCATTTGCATGTGGCCTACCGAGCTTTGGTTGCTAGCGATTTCACATGGGTTTATTTGCAGTCATGTGTTTCTAGAGAATTCTTGCGTCCAGAATGGCAACTGCAACACTAGCTTCACACATGCACCCGTCCCCTCCATCTTGTGCCCATAATAGACCAATGGAACCCCGCCTACCCCTTGTGTTGCTAAGAGGGCAACAGAGGTCCGCCCACCTCTCTTCTTGACTCCAGGGGGTTGCTGTGTGCCCCAAAGATGGCCACGTCAGCAGTGGAGAGGATGTGCCATGGACTGGTGGGAGCAGGGGTTCAGACGCAGGGAGATAGATGAGGGGCATGGCGCAGAGAGGAGGAAAAGGAGGAGAGTGGGGGAGAGACGAGGGTGGAAGGAGTGCTGCGGAGACGGAACACACGAGTGAAGGAAGGCAGGGCAGGTGCTGGTGGCGTGATAATGCATGGATGACGCCATATGCAGCCCTGCTGCTGTCGTGCTGTATTTGCATTCTACTCTTGCTAGGGACATACCTTATTCTATCCTTCATATACTAGCCTGTCCTTAAATTAGGAGAGTGAATGGGAGAGAGGGCAAGCGAGCGAAGGAGGAGGGGGAAGGGTGGGTGAGGTGGGGGAGGACACAGAGGGAGAGAGGGATGGGAAGAAGAGGCGCACTGACGTGTTGTAGGCAGCCCGTCCGATCATAACACCGTGCACCCCTTTGTCTAGTAGGACACTGGCCTGGTGGGATGTCGGGAAGGGGAGGGGGAGGGGGAGGGGGAGGGGGGAGGGGAAAGAGGGGAGGAGAGAAGAGAGAGAGAAGTAGAAAAAGAATGGGGGTGCCATGAACATGGGTACAACGCAAAATAACCTATCATCATGCGATGGCCATACCATTCCAACACGGCATCACCGCCGTACATCCGAGCAAACATGGCATCAAGGCTTCAGAACGAATGGACCGAGCATCAGCATAAAGAGCAGCAGGAAGATCGGCAGAAGTGGCAGCGAAATCAGGCAAACCAGAAGCAACAGCAGCAAAAGAACAAAATATAGCAGCAGGAAGGGCAACAGATGCAGAATGAGTGAGCCAAAGAACAAGTATACCTGTTGTAATGATGTGACACCGCCATTGAGAGTGAAGGAGAGGGAGGGGAAGTCACGCAGCAATGCAAACACATACTCATATCTGCACAAGGCGTGGCGTGGGATGGGATGGCATGACATGGGATGGGATGGGATGGCATGGGATGCCACAGCTTGGTATCATGTATGCTCTGGTAGAGTCTGGTTACTGGTGCATGGCATGGATGGCACATTACATGGGAGTGACAGCATCATGTAAGCATGATAGCAACACGAAGAAGCCATCTGATGTCAAGCTTTCGACCACAAATAATAGATGTAGGTAGTAGCTTTTGGCGCGTGGATGAACCACCTTGGAATGATTCCTGCCTCATCGACCCTACCCAACCCTTGTGAGTGAGTTAACACCACGTAACTGAGGCCACAGGCGTAGATCAGGACAGCCTCATTCCATGAAAACGATAGGCAGTCACGATGGGATGAGACAGAGACACATGACATGGTTGAAGGTGGAAAAATCACGTGCCTGCGTGACACACACCATCCCCATGCTGCCTGCCAGCCCTTGGTATCCTTGGCACGCAGTGAGAGCAAGGCATGGCTGGCTGCCAGCACGGGGATGGTACTGGAGCCGACAGCAGCCAAGACTAGTGAGAGCAGTACATGCATGCATGCTTGTGAGAGCAAGGCAGAGCGGGCCACACAGAAGCCAGGGCTAGTGGGTGCAGTGCAGCGCCAGTTTTGACACCGCCTCTGGGGTTGACTGTAGGGGTGTGCAGTGTACGAACGAACAACAGACAGACCACACACGGACCCAGGGGGCGCTCATATGCCAGTACTTGATTGAAGGGGCACATCCTTCAATCACGTGCCTCACAGGCGGCACACACCTGAGGGGCGGCACACACCTGAGGGGCGGCACACACCTGAGGGGCGGCACACACCTGAGGGGCGGCACACACCTGAGGGGCGGCACATACCTCAGGGGCGGCACTAGATAGGAGCAAAATGCGGTGCGATATTTAATCGCGCCGAAATTTATTTCATTGCGCTTTATCGCATGCGGTAAAATATCGCATTGCGCGATTAATTTTCCTGATTTTGGGATATCGCATATCGCATTTTGGGTGAGATAATTAACAATATCGCAAATGTTAGTGCGACATATCGCGCGATGCGATAATAAATTGCATCGCATTTACTGCATGTAGAAAAAAAAATAAAAAATTATTTGACCAGGCGGAAAAAAGAGTGCGGAAATTCGACACAACCATGCGCGCTGCGATTAGTTATATCGCATGCGATATAATAATATCGCATATCGCATTTTTAATCGCACGACACATGGTGCTAGGCATGAGCACGGGGCGGGGCGAGGCCATGAAAAATATCGCATCGCATCGCGCGATAAAATTTTCAGGGGAAAAATTGTCACAATCGCAAAAATTCGAGATTTGCAATGCGATAATGCGATATGCTCATGTCTAGGCGGCACACACCTGAATGGGCAAAAAAAATCGCATCGCATCGCATTTACTCGCATTTTTGCGATTGCGATTTCATTTTATTTTTGAAATCATCGCACGATGCGATGAATTGTTTATCGCGCGATTTATTAAATCGCATAAAAAATCCCGCTGGAAAACGCCATCTAAATGAGATACGCGATTATTTTTTTATCGCGCGCGATGTTGCACTGAAACCCACTACGAAACCACACAAATGTTTTTGCACTCAGCTTACGACTAGACATGGTCAAAATGCGATGTGATGCGATATCGCATCGCATTTTGACTTATCGCGCATTATATCGCGGCGATGCGATATCGCATCGCCGCGATATTTTTTTTGAAAAAACCCAAAATCGCATATCGCGTTTTAGGTGCGATATTTGCAAATATCGCGCTGTAGAGTGCGATATATCGCGCGATTTAATTAAATACCGCATTCATCGAGCGCAGAACGCGATGTGCGGTTCTTTTTTCCAGAAATTAAATCGGGCGATGGGATTTTAAATTGCATCGCATTTAATTAAATCGCCCCCAAATGCGATGCGATTTAAATCGCAATCGCATTTTGCCAATGTCTACCTGAGGGGCGGCACACACCTGAGGGGCGGCACACACCTGAGGGGCGGCACACACCTGAGGGGCGGCACAGTTCGGTTCTGGGCGGGCGAGAGGCCTTTGAGCAGCGCCTTGCGCGCATGGATGGTGAAGTGGCGCACGGGGGAGAAGGAGGACACGGTGGATATAAATTCGTCTGAAAGAGAGGGGAGGGGACGAAGAGGAGGGCGGAGGGAACGTGAGGGGGTCAGTTGGTGATGGAAATGGGAGGGTGAGGAGAACAGATGGATGGTGAAGTGACGCATGCAGGCCGGCGAGGACACCGTGGATATGAAGGTGTCTGAACGAGGGGAGGGTTGGGTAGCGTGGGGGAGGAAGGATGCAGGGAACCGTGATGGGAGTGGGAGGGTGAGAGTGGATGTATGGATGATGAAGTGGCACTTGGGGGCGGGCGAAGAGGAGACAACGGACACGAATGCATGGAGGAAGAGAAAGAGAAAGGGGTGGATCAAACGAGAGACGTGGGAACAGATGATGGGAACGGGGGGGTGGAGAGGGGGAGGGAAGGGGGGTGGTAAAGCGGGGTGAGTGGATACAGAGGTGGCAGCAGTATGTGAATTGGAGTGCATGCACAAGGGGAAAGAAAAGGAGAGACAATGATGACCAGAAGGTGACTCGCATGGTTGAAGGTGGATGTGATGTGACACATGGATTATGGATAGGCAGTAGGCACGGGGAGTAGCACAGCATATGAGGCAGGTGTGGATGGGTGCATAGGAAAGACTCGCCACTGCACCCGTCCCAACACAAAAAGGCCACAAATACAACCTCGCTCCCCACTCCAACCCTGCCCCTTCCCCTGTCCTCTTTCCCATCAGGACCTACACAGCTGTTTCATTCAGTCACACGAGTAGCAGTCACCTAACCAGCCCTTCAGTTGCACTGCTTACAGCCTGTACAGCGTCACCCCCCACCCCCTCAGCCTACTTCCCCCCACCTCCAACCCCCTCTCTCGATGCAGCATATGCAGCTGCGACTGCAACTCTCCCACTTCCCCAACCCTCCCGCTAGACACGAGCAAATTAAATCGCATCGCATTCAATCGCGATTTTGCGATGGCGTTTTTTTTTTAAATTCATCGCGCGATGCGATGATTTATTTATCGCGCGATTAAATTTATATCACGTTTTTATCGCGCAGGGAAATCGCGATTTAAACGCGATATGCGATTTAATTTAAATCGCGCGCGATGTCGAAATGCATCGCAGTGCGGAATTTCGCCAGCATATGGCGAAAAATCGCAAAGCCCCAAAACGCACTTCTGAAAACCTCCTTCGCAGAATCCGTTTGGGCATACGTTTTAAGGCTTTGCACACGCTTCCTAGCACTCCTAAACCCACCGTTCTTCGCAGTCTTTGGTGGTTGAAATCAGTAGACGGAGTAGATTGCGCGCCGCATGTCCTTTTAGTCGAGCTACGCCATTCGCGCAAGCATTTGGCGCGTTGGTGGCGTCGCGCCAGCTAGATTCTAGCCTCGACGCACGTGCATTGCCGCTTATTGCATTGCGTAACTTATTTAGCCGCAGCGGCAGGGTTCATCGCGCGTCGTGCCTCGAAGCGGCCGCATTAGGGTTTCGGGTTCTAGTTGAGGAGCCGCTTTAAGGTTTCGCGATGGGCAAGCAGGGTGGAGGAGGTGCGGGACGTGGGGGCGGTAGGAGTGGTGGTGGCGCGGGTCGCGGCGGCGAGGACGAACCAGATGCTCAGACTCGAGCGCACGCATTGACGGGCAAGGAAGCGTGCGCACAGCGCAGGATGATGACGGAGGCGGCATTCGCCAAGCTGCAGGGGATTAAGGCGGGTACCCTGCAAGGGGTGGAAGGCTGAGGGGACATGGGAGGAGCCCCCAGCAACGGCGGGCTTGGGACATAGGGGAGTGGCGCGGCGGACGCTACGGAGCCCGCCCTTGCGGGCAAGGTGGCTATTAGGGACGAGGCGGAGGACGGGGATGCTTGGCGGATCTGAGCATCGGCGGAGAGGGTGCGGACTGACTATGAGGAGGGGGATGAGGAGGAGGAGGATGAGGACGACGACGTGGTGGCGGAGGAGGGGATTGGGAGGAGGATGGGGGAGCTGGCGGCGAGGAGAAGGGGAAGCGCAAGGTGGATGACGGGCCTTCTCCCTCGGTCGGTTCTTCGGGGAAGAAGGCGCGTACACCTGCGGAGGGGGATGAGGGGGAAGGGGGGGCGCCCAGGACCGTCCCCGGGGCCGGCCCAGGGGCCGGGGCAGGGGGCGGAAGGGATTCCTGTGCGAGGATGTCGGCAGGCCTGGCATGTCACCCGGATACCTCCACGAGGCGTGGGGGAGCGATGGGGGAGGGGGGAGGGGGCGGGGTGTGGCCCCGGCTCCCATGGATGATGGATGCCAGCAGGGGGGGGGGGCGGGCGGGGGGTGGCCGGGGTGAGGGTCATGGGGCGACTGACCAGGGTCATGTGGGCTCCTCCACGGAGGTGGAGAAGGAACCGCGATTGTGTGTGGCGGCTTGTTATGACAAGGAGGAGGCGGCGCCGGGTTGGAGGAGGTGCAGGAAGTGCAACTTCCTAGTGAGCTTCGCGAGCCGCACCACGTCGAACGGGTGGTCCCACATGGTTGGTTACCACATGGTTCACTGGGACATCTTAACGCGACTGAGGCGGGAGGGGGAATATGAAGGTCGGGGACCTGCTACCAAAGGGGGGATTCGGGGATGGTGAGGTCCCCGACGGTGACAGTACCTGGTGGGGGTCGGCCTACTGGCCCAAGTTGGAGGACGCGGAGGACGACGGCTTGCTCAGCCGGGGGTCATTCCTTCGTGGCACAAGCTGGCCCATCCCATCATGCGACAGGCGGCGCAGTGCAAGGTGTTGGCGAAGGCCGAGTTGGCGGCTGACAAGGGGGTGGGTGCGATCTCCTACACAACGGACATTTGGTCTGCGGAGAACGACATCGGTTTCATGGGCATCAAGGCGCATTACATCGATGCCCAGTGGAACCTGAAGCAGGCGACGCTGGACTTCACGCCTCTTCCGGTCAGCCACACAGTGAGGATGGTCGCCGACATCCTGGAGGTGATCGAGGATTGGGGGCTTGTCGGACGGTGTATGGCGCTCACGACCGACAACGCGTGTGTGAACGAGGCGGCATTCGATCTTCTCAAGACAGGGGATCAGGGAGATGGGAAGAAGCGCACAACCCCCTTGTTCGGCGAGGCTGCCCGCGTCCAGTATGTCATGTTGCCATTTCTCGCTGCCTATGTTTGTTCACCATGCAGCGCGTCGTTGCCCTACCCATCGACAAGGCGTGGTCAATTGTTCTAACCTCCAAGCCCTTGTGCTTGGTGCAGGTGCCTCGCCCACGTCAACAACCTCGCAGTGCATGAGGCTATGGGTGGGGTGCTGGAGGTGGAAGCGCCGATGAAGAAGTTGCGCAACCTCGCGTCGCGCATTGGCTTCTCAGTGAACAAGACGGCGGCCTTCGAGAAGGAGCAGCGTCACCAGTTCCTTGGGAAGCAACCCTTGAAGTTAAAGCAAGACAACCCGGTGCGCTGGGGCTCCACCCACGCCATGCTGCGGCGGGCGATCGAGCTCAAAGGCCCAATCAGGGCCTTTGGGGCTAGGGAGGTATGTAATGTAACTTCGGTTCCGAGCTGGACGCACCTCCAATCCGCTGTCTCCTGGTTACCTCCAATTCGCTGCCACCTGCTTACCTTCATCGCACAGCCGTGTCCCCCCCGCCACACTCCAAGCCCCTTTCCAGAAAGATTGACCCCCCCTCCCCCCTCCCTTCCCCCTTCCCCTCTCCTCCCCCTCCCCCACACCCTTGTTCGCTCGAATCCAAGGGTGTAACAAGAAGGAGCAGGCCGATCCGGAGAAGAAGGCAGTTACAGGCGATGAGTGGGCGATCCTACAGGAGTTGATGGCGTTCGTGGCGCCATTCAACAACGTGACTCTGGCGGCGGAGGGGTCGGTGTACCCCACGGTGGCGTGTGTGGTGCCACAGTACAATGGTATACTGGATTGGCTGGAGCGCAAGCTGGCAGCGGCAAAGCCGGGGTCGGTGATGGCGCGGTGCGTGTCCCAAGCGTTGGAGAAAATGCTCACTTACTTTTATTCCAGCACCGATGACCTCAATGTGGCCACATTCTTGGACCCGGCACGGAAGCGAGAGTGGTTTGAGCGGCCGATGGTGGAAGGCAGCACCAGGGTGGTGGAGAAGTTGAATGCCGACGAGGTGGAGGAGTTGGTGCGCGATAGGTGGGAGACGTACAAGAAAAAGGTGGACGAGGAGGCGGCTGAGAAGAGGGGGGCAGCGGCGGTAGAGGGGGGCAGCAACGCAAAGGGAGTGGAGGGGAGGGAGTCCGAGGATGAGGAGGATGAGGACTTGGGTGTGTTCACTCACCTCGCACCAGTGCGGGCCGCACAGATCTCATCGGTGCAGGATGAGATCCAACAGTACTTGTCACTCCCCTTGGGGGAACTGCACGACTGCCCCTTGCAGTTCTGGAAGGTCCACCCGGAGCTTCCAGCGCTGCAGCGCATGGCTCGGGATTACCTCGCCATCCCGGCCACCTCTGCCCCCTGCGAGCGCCTGTTCTCACAGGGCCGCAACCTCATCCATGCAGAGTTTTCTGCTATAACGAGAGCTTCTGCGGAAGTGCCTGACGCAGATAGAGCTCTCTAGCTCTGTGGTTCTCTAAGGAGAGAGTTGCCTTCAGAATTGTGTGTTTAACTGGGTAGCTTGAGAAAGCTTGGGCACACATATTCTCTAGAATCAAAATTACAAAGTATGGTACACAAGGCAAACACTAGTACTACCCCATTGAACCTCATTAAACACGGAGAGAACGTTCGCACGAGAAATTTTACATAACTACTCTAAGTTGCGCTTAGCCAAGTCAGCAATGGCAGGTGAAATTACAGCACATGCTTGGATGGTAATTTTTACCCACTTAGAAGTAGTTGTTTTAACAGTTTCATATGTGAAACTGTCAAATGTTACGCACATTTCCGCGGTTACGAAATGTGCGTCACGTGTTCAATTTCTCAATGTCGCAGGTAGATTTTGCCGTTTTTCGGTTCAGCTCGGTTCTCTGGTTAACTTACGAAATCGCAAACTCGCGATTTCGGAACGTTACCTTCATCAGAAAAACTAAGTCCCCGTT